TGATTTTCTAGAAGTAAAATTAGGACGTGATTGGTTAAAACTTAAAATGCTCTACGACGAGTATAGTTTTCGAGGTATCGAGCCATTTTAACCTGTAGCATAAAACCATGAAAAAATGCAATGATTTTGGGCGTGTTGTATACAATATTTTATTTTCCTCCAACACGAAATAAAGTGACACTTTAGTCCCTCAGGAATAAAATATATGACATACCGATTATTACTCTTAATATAAACTGAAATTGAATGAACTGAGTATTTTGACAAATTTGTCATTTTCTTATATTATTTAGTCTGTTTGGGCTTCCAGAAGTGGGGATTAAAATAGTTGTTTTTCCCTTTATAAAAAACTATTTCCTTCTTTAGCCTATACTCTAGCAAAAAAAATTTTTAATAAATAAATGCTATTTTGATATTTTTGCTATGATTTTATTAAAAAACGAGTTTTTTTTTTGAAATTTTGACGATGATTCGCTGAAAATACGATTTTCTAGACGCAAAATTACAATGTTATTGGTTAAAATGCTCTACGACGAGTGGTTTTCGGGTTATCGAGCCATTTTAACCTGTACCATAAAACCATAAAGAGATTAACAGTTCAAATAATATTTTTTTTTTGCAGAAAACATTTCTAAAAATCTAAATTATTAAGTACGATTCGTAAGCGTCGTTTTATGAGCATTTTTTAAGAAATAAATGAGATTTTGCACTTCTGTAGGTCCAAGAGCCTCCTCAAAACTTTGCTGGATGAAAAAATTGACAAAATACTGAAAATATGATTTTCCAGACGTAAAATTACAGTGTGATTGGTTAAAATACTCTACGAGTAGTTTTTGAGGTATCGAGTCATTTTAACCATGAAACCATGGAAAAAAAAACAGCAATGTGATCCATACAATATTTTATTTTATTACAGTGTTTCAAACACATGATTCATATACTTCGAAGTAAATGCATATTTTTTAATGTAAATAAGTAGTTTGTCGCTTTTATTGCATGTGAGACTGAAGTAAACAAAATTTGTAAATATTTAAAGTCCGACTCTTGCACAATAGACAAACTAAATCTCCAAACTAAACAACTGTTAAGTTTGTATGTAGAAACAAAGTGGACACTTCGATTGGTAGAAGTTAAAAGCCGTTTCAGCCACTGAAAAGGCACTTCCGCATAGCGGAACTGAGTTTAAAAAATCAAGACTCTATCCGGGTCATTCACACATAAACTACAATGATTTTCATAATAACAATAATAATAATGACCACCGGCGCGTGGACTATAGATGCATTTTTCAAACTCCATCACCATCTTGCAGATGTTAACAAGTCAATAGCATGACAAGGAAACTGTTTATAATGTACCTAACTGCAAATCAACGGAGAATTTAACAAAGCACTGATTTTTTTCAATTTTTTCAGGGCCAAAATGGGTTTGAAGATCTTAGAAGATACGTCAAACAAGGGGGCGATTTTTGCAAAGAACTCGCCACCATCCTCCAAGAAAGGTAAAGACAGTTTTTTCTATCAATTTATGTCTCTTAATTCATCAAAAAATCTTTTTTTTGGGTCTTGAGTTGACGGTTGACCTTCCTTTCATTCAAGAATTCGCTATTTATTTCATTCATAATTTTTTATTGATGCCATCTCTAACTCTCTTCCATTCACTTTTTTCTCTTGCAACTTCTCCCTCTCTCTTTTATGTATGCGTACTTTCCCACTAATTATAATCAAATTAAAAAAAAAAACTAGTCTGAACAACACCAAGATACGCAAATCGTTTTTTAAATGAAAATGCAAATTTTCCAGACTTTGGATGAAGGTGTCATTATAAACAGTCAAGGTTATTATTATGCAGTGTAAATTTTTGATCAAGTTGTCTGTGACTCTGAAACTTAGTTGGCAACATTGCCCAAAAAGGTGTTGCCTAATTGAGGTTAATGTTGCCAACTCAATTTGACGTCACAGGTCACTTTCTTTCGATAAAAGTGTCATTTTAAACAGTCAAAGTTTTAATCATGATCAAAGTCGCCTATGACTCTAAAACTTGAAACTTGTCACAGAGTTTAACAGTTTCAAACGAAACCAAACTGGACCAAGATATTATTGTACTAAATTTTATAATTTGTTACCAAATGACTTTTGTAATTTGTCTGCATGTCTTTTTAAAAAGGAACTTAAAGAATTAATTTTTCATTGAAAACTGTTTATACAGGGTGTCCCAGCGAATCTAATAGTAACCTTTAAATGGTAGAATCAAAAAATATATATATAAAACGTTGATAGATACTAATTTAGTGCATCACCTAAAATTATTTTCAACCATACAGCATGTCCCAAAAATAAGTTACAATACAAACTTGTGTTTTTTTTAATGAAACACCGTAGGTTTCTTGGCATTTTTGGATGTCGCCTTCTAAAACAATGTTTTTACGCTAAATTTTTATTAGTCGATTTTGCTTAGTTTTAGAAATAAGACGTTTTTTTTAACGAAAACATGCACTTTTTAAAAATTTATTACACAAAAACTAGGACAGCTAGAAGAAATTTTTTCTTACTTTTGCAAAGAAGAAAGTACAGAATTGTTGTAGCAATTTTTTAGTGTTTAGCATTTGAAAAGATTAATAAATTAGGAAGTTTGTTAAAAGTTAAATAACTCAAAAAATTTAAATGAAACACCCTATTTTTCTTTAGGTAGATAAATTGTCTATCTAAAAAAGTAAACCTTTATTTTGGGATTGTTTTAAAAAAAATTGCGAAATATTTACCTGAAAAACATGCTACACAAAAAAATGACTGGTTTTGTTGTTTTTTGGCTTGTTTTTTTTTAAATCTTGCAAAAAATTGAGGTTTTAGTTCAAAACGTGCTTAAAGACTTGAAAAAGGAGAAATTTTGAGTCTTTTGGCTTATTTTTTGACAAAATTTTACTCAAAAACGAGCTAAATCGAATGAAACAAACGAAATAGCATCAATTTCGATTTGTTTTTTGTAATTTTTAGGTACGCTTTGACAAGATTTTGCAGAATAAATGAGTCTGGTTTAAAAAACTCAATCGAGCCAAACAAGCTAAAAATAATACATATCAATTTCAATCTAATTTAGTAATTTTTCAGTCAGTTTTAACAAAACTTGTATTTTACGTGCTTAAACACTCTAAAAAAAATGTAAAAACCACACTCGTTTTGGTCTAATTTGGTAAATTTTTGGTTTGTTTTTAAGGAAATTTTGCAAAATAGTTCTGTTTCTGTCTGAAAGAGTACTAAATGCTCCAAAAAGATGAAAATAATGAACTTTGCGAGCTGGTTTATCGATTTTTTGACCCTGTTAAGCGAAATCTTATTAAAAAAAACTATTTCTTTAACAAATTTAGTGATTTTTTGACTTATTTTTGAAATTTGAAAATTTGAAAAAAAAAAATTTTACTAAATGTTTGGGTGATTTAAAAAAATATTTCAAAATACAGGCTGTCCCAGCGAGTTGAATTGAAAATATAGCGTGTCTCAAAAATAATTTTTTTTAATAAAACACCGTATGTTTCTTAGCGTAGTTAGATGTAGATTTTTAGGACAATGTTTTTAAGCAAAATTTGTGCCAGCAGTTGCGGTTATACAAATTAGGCAAGTTAATTATATTTAGTTCAATTAGGTGAGAATTTTTAAATTTAAAATAAAACTTTTTAGGTGAAATTTTAAGTTTTATGTAAATTTATTAATTAAACTTTTATTGGTCGATTTTTTTAGTTTTAAAAATAAGACGGTTTTTTGATAAAAACATGCACTTTTTAAAAATTTATTACACAAAAACTAAGACATCTAGAAATATTTTTTTTTCCTACCACAAAGAAGAAGGTATAAGGTTGTAACATTTTTTTAGTGTGTTACATTTGTAAATATAAAAAAATGGAAAAATGAAGGCGTTCAATAACTTAAAAAAATTAAATGGAACACCATATTTATTCTTTTTGGATTTAAACGATTATTAAATTTTTCTCTCTAAAATTATTTACTTTTAGGTGTTTATAATCAGTAACTAAAAAGATATTTACCGTTAAACATTAAAAAAAATAATTACTATTGTTTCATATATCTTTTCATTTATCAATTCTGGACATTAAAAGTTTATTTTTTTAGATAGACAATTTAATAATCTGTTAAGTGCAAAAACAATAAATAGGGTGTTCCATTTAATTTTTTAAAGTTATTTAACTTTTACCAAACTTCTTAATTTATTAATCTTTACAAATGCAAAACACACTGCTGCAGCTTTAAATTCTGTACTTTTTTCTTTGCAGAAGTAAGAAAAAAAATTTCTAGTTGTATTAGTTTTTTTTTGTGTATTAAATTTTTGTTTTCGTCAAACTAAAAAAATGTTACAACCTTATTACTTGTACCTTCTTCTTTGCAGTAGTAAAAAAAATATTTCAAGATGTCTTAGTTTTTGTGTAATAAATTTTTAAAAAGTGCATGATTTCGTCAAAAAAACCGTCTTATTTTTAAAACTGAGCAAAATCGACCAATAAAAGTTTATCTTAAAAACATTGTCATAAAAATCGACATCCAAAAACGCTAAGAAGCATATGATGTTTCATTTAAAAAAACACAAGTTTGTATTGTAACTTATTTTTGAGACACGCTGAATAGTTGAAGATAATTTTAGGCGATAGACTAGATTAGTATTTATCAATGTCCTATATATTTTTTTACATTTACTATTTAAAGGTCACTAGTGGACTTTTTCAACTCGCTGGGTAACCCTGTATAATTTTGAGGACTATTTTACACTGTAATTTTAATAATCTGTAAGTTTTGTATTTTGTTTATTATTTGACTTATGTATGACTCGTCTTAAACATCAATAGAGCTATCTATCTTTCTTAATGAGTTGGCAACATTACCCAAAAAGGTGTTGCCGAATTTAGGTTTAATATTGCCAACTTAATTTGACGTCACAGGTCACTTTCTTCGTCATTTTAAACAGTCACGGTTTTAATCATGATCAAAGTCGCCTGTGACTCTTGAATTGGCAACATTGCCCAAAAAGGTATTGCTTAACGTTGCCAACTTAATTTGACGTCACAGGTCGTTTGACCGTTTTTTGTCTTTTGTAGGGCCGAGGCCGAGACCCAATACGCTAAAAACTTGTCAAAATTGAGTTCAAAACTGTCGCGCGCTTGTCGCGACGGCGTTGGCGGTTTGAACGAGGCCTGGAAGGCCGTCGCAATCGAATTAGAGACCCGTGCTGAAGTCCACCGACTGATGGGCCAAGTCCTTTCGGAGGAGACGGCCAAACCGCTGCGCAACATGACGGAAAATCAGCACCGGACGCGGAAACAATGCGAAGGAACAGTGGATAAAGCGGCCAAATCGTTGGCCGAGTGGAGAACAGCTGAGGCCAAAAGTAAGAAACAAAGCCATACGTGTGCCAGAGACAATGAGAAGTTGCAAGATGCTGCGATTTTGGATACTTCGAGGACGGGGAAGTTGACGTGAGTTGGGTTTGGTTTTGTGGTAGGTGTGATGTGGATTTTACAGGTTGAATAGGAGCAGTAGTTTGATCCAGTTGGCTCATATGCATAATAGAAATACGCCAGATAAAGAAAATACCAAGTTGGAAGGGAAGAAACGCAAGGCGGAAGATGCGGTGAAGAAAGCTGATATTGAATATTACACGCTTTGTGTCCGGGCGGAGAGGGCAAGGTAACGAAATTAGACTTTTGTTAAATACAAATTCTATCTGTCAAAAAATTTTGACATTTGTTTTTTGACATATGATATTTTTTTATATCTATTTAATGATACTCATGATCTTGTATATGTTTTTTTTATAATTATTTAGTAAAGGGACAAAAATTTTGCCAATAAAAGCCACTAATAATATTAAACAGAGTGACAATTTAGGATACAGTTTCCTTGTTTCCTCTTTTAATAGCCTATAGCAAAAATTATTTTTCCAACAGAAATAAATAGAGTCAAAGTGCATTATTTATTTAACATTTTTTCCATGTTCCTGGTATCTTACGTTATATGGCATTTTTCTCTGGACCGCGAGTTCTGGCCCAGCCTGTATAAGCGATTCAAGCTAACCATAATTGGTTAGGTCTTCTCAATGAAAATATTTTCAAGATGGTGGCACTTATACAGGCTGTTCCGTCTAAACCCCACTTTAGAAGTATTGGGAGTTGGAATAATTGTATTTATTTGAAAATTGGTACATAGCCATAAACCATTAAGTCCTCCTAAATGAAAATATTTTCAAGATGGCGGCACTTCCGGTTATACCGGAAGTCGGTCTTAACTTTCTTATTTTAAATAGAAAGGTATATTTTTTACTGCGTTTTTGGATTAACCGGGTTATTTTAAGGGAGTTTTCATCAGCTTTCCCTATACCTAAATTTAGTCGTTTTTTAAATATTTGGAGTTTTTCAAAAATTTTTGGATTTGCACCTTCCACTTTAAAAACCGGTAACTCTGCCATTTTTTAAGATTTTAAATTGGTTTTTTTGTCGTTTGAAAGAGAAAGCTTAGATCCTTTTTCTGATGTTTTCAAATTTTGAAAAAAAAAACATATCCCAAAATTTTAAGGTTACTTTTGTAATAATTCAAATACTCATAACTCAATTTTTTCAAATAAAATACCCCAACTTTTATTTTACTAAATAGAAGAGAATTTAATTGTGCATTAATCTGTATTAACATTCCCTATACCTAAATTTAATAATTTTCAAGTTATGGACTTTTTTTTAAGACTACAGAAAATTTATTACTAGCTATACGCGTTTTCGCTATGAAAATCAAAAAAGTCACAATTTTCTCTAAACAAACGTCAACAGTAAATTACTATTTGACAAATAGTGCAAAATATGGAGAATTAAAGTTATACAAACTTCATTATTATTGATAGGTTCTACCATGCGATCATTATTTAAAGCTAWCAAGTYAGAAAKYTTTATTTTTGTTTAATGAYCGARATCATAARTTTGTTACACTRTRCATAAATACAAAATAAATTAATTAAATCTAAGTTTGAGTAGCTTTGACTCTCCATATTTTGGCACTATTTGTCAAATAATAAGTCACTGTCGACATTTATTGAGAAACAATTTTGACATTTTTTATTTTCATCGCAAACTATACGAAAACGAATGTGGCTAATAACAGATTTTCGGCAGTCTCAACAAAAAGTCACCATAACTTAAAAATTATTAAATTTAGGTTTAGGGAATGTTAATACAGATCGATGCAGAATTAAATTCTCCTCCATTTAGTATAATAAAAATTGGGGTATTTCATTTGAAAAAATTGAGTTATGGGTATTTGAATTATTACAAAAGTAACCTTAAAATTTTATGGTTTGTTAATTTTTTTTCCCAAATTTGAAAACATCAAAAAAAGGATCTAAGCTTTCTCTTTCAAACGCCAAATAAACGAATTCAAAATTTAAAAAAAAAGCAGAGTTACCGGTTTTTAGAGTGGAAGGTGCAAATCCAAAAATTTTTGAAAAACTCCAAATATTTCAAAAACGGCTAAATTTAGGTATAGGGAAAGCTGATGAAAATTCCCTTAAAATAACCCGATTAATCCAAAAACGCAGTAAAAAATATACCTTTCCATTTAAAATAAGAATGTTGAGACCGACTTCCGGTATAAGCGGAAGTGCCGCCATCTTGAAAATATTTTCATTTAGGAGGACTTAATGGTTTATGGCTATGTACCAATTTTCAAATAAATACGATTATTGCAACTCCCACTCCCACTAAAGTGGGATTTAGACGGAACACCCTGTATATCCGGAACCTTGTTATATTGAATAGAAAGGTACAGTGTTTTTTTTTGGTTTTCCTCTTTTGTGAAATGTATTTCACTATTTTTCACCTACGTCGCTTTGACATATATCAAATGAAATAGTTTTGAGTAATAGTGAAATACATTTGACAAAAGAGGAAAACCAAAAGAAAAACACTGTATGTTTTTTTTGCGTTTTTGAATTCTCACAATTATTCTATAAACTTCTATAGACTATAGACTTTCCCTAAATCTAAGTTGAACCGTTTTTGAGATTTTTAGACTTTTTTGAATTTTTTTGGATCCTAATATTTCTATTCAAAAATTACACTGGCCGCCAAAATTAACCGGACAACTAAAATTTTGCGATTTTTTACATTGCAATATTTTTGTTCTTCTTTGTCGGATTTTAATGAATTTTGGTTCGGCTTAAAGAACGAACTTTGCAGAATATTGTAATTTGATTCAATAACATTTTTAGTTTGCCTTGTAAATGTTGTACCTAAAAGACGAGAGCACTGTTTTTTTACTTTTTTTTTATACTGAGCTGAGATAAAATTAAGTTTTTACTTATTTCAGATTATTGCCCGTTATTTTATGAATGAGGAACAATTTGTTTCAAAATTTTATCTTCTGGTGCTCCAGAGATACAAAGCATTGAAAAAAAAAGACGTTGCTTTTTTAATGTTACTAAATATTCGTTCAGAAAGTAGGCTACATAAAAAGGTAATTAAACCGAAAATGATTGCTTATGTCACCAAAAGAGCACAATTACGTCTTTGAACACAAAAAATCTGAAAAACTTGGAACTTTAAAGGATTATAACAAGTAAAAGGTTAATTATTGGAAACTTCCAGGCGCCTATTTTGACGTTTTAACACATTTTACCTACTTAATACGAATATTCATTGAAATTGGAAATGTAATGGTTTTTTTGAAAGTTCATATCTCTCTTGTCTCAAGAATTAAAGTTATGAAAAATGTGGTACATAATTCAGAAAGGAATCAGCAATAATCTGAAATCAGTGTAAAAAAAAAGTAAAAAAAAAACAGTCCTCTCGTCTTTTTGGTATAATATTTACAAGACAAAACTAAAAATGTTATTGAATTAAATTACAATATTCTGCGTTCTTTAAGCCGATCCAAAATTCATCAAAATCCGACAAAAAGTAGCAATGTAAAAATCGCCGGCCAATGTAATTTTTGAATAGGAATGTTTGCATCCAAAAAATTTCAAAAAAGCCTAAAAATCTCAAAAACACACATTGAAGAAAAATGTTTGATGTTACCCATAACTCAATTTATCTAAATAAAACGCCCCAATTTTTTCTTCAGAAGATGGAGGAGAATTTAATTCTGTTTCAATCTGTATTAATTAACATTTTCTAATCTATGTTTAATAATTTTCAGGTTTTAGTAATTTTTTTTTGATATTGCGGAAATTTCATTAGTCATATATCACTGCTATGGAAATAAAAAAATAATTGAGAATCGAAATTATTCAAATTTAGGTTAAGTGAATTTATTTTATATTTACAAAGAGTGAAAAATATAATGCAAGAAATTTCTACAAAAAAACAACTATCTACAGGGTGTTAAAAAAAGATTGTAAAATAATTCAGGAGGTAGAATAGTCAAACAAAAAAGTCTTAATAACATGGGTCAAAGTAATGGTTTCAGATATACCGAAAATTTTTCATTTTTTGAAACATTGTCCATACAAAAATGAAAAGCTTCTAGAAAATTTGTAAATTTTTACTAATAAAAATTTTACAAATTCTCACATTCGTTGAGACTTTTTTTGTTTATGTTGGTCCATACTCCTTATCGCCTTAAATATTTTACAAATACCCTGTATATTTTGGATAATAATGAATGATTAATGAATTTCTCGTATTGTGTAAAAGTCAACATAACTAAAAAGAAATTCAAAAAAGTCTAAAAATTTCGAAAACGATTAAATTTAGGTATAGGGAATTTTAAAAACTTTTTAAAATCGCTGAGTAATCCCAAGATGCCTCAGTGCGCAGCTCGCTCAGTGTTATTGTGGATTTTATTGGTAAAATTATCATTATCATTATTATCAAGTCATTATCAAGTATCATTATATAGACAATAAAAAATGTCAAGTGTCAAAAAGTAAATGTCAAAATGGACAGATAGAATTTTTTAACATTTTTTCCATGTTCTTAGTATCTTGTCTTACTTGAAAGTTTTCTCTGGGGCGCGAGTTCTGGCGCACTCTGTATAGGTTTTTATTTAAAATAACGAAGTTGATACTCACTTCCGGTATGGCCGGAAATGCTGTCATTTTGAAATTATTTTCATTGGACTAACCAAGTTTGACTATATGCAATTTTATAGATATAATCGTTGTGCATCGAAGTAGTCGTTGAAAGAGATCACTTTAAGGTGGCAACCATGCGAAAATTCAAACAATCCTAACATCAATTTTCCCAAAAAAATATTTTCTCAAATAAATATGTGTACCCACTTTTTGAGGTAGCAAAAATAATTAAAATTATCAACAAACGTTAATTATTGATGTGATTAAATTTGTTGTGAATGACATTAAGGACAGAATCTTTTAAATTTAAGATACATTTAGACTTCTACAATTTTTTTTATTGTATTATTATTTTTTTTAAATATAATTTATTTCTGGTTAGGCTGGAATGGGAATCGGCCGTCCTGCGAGGCGTAAACACCTTCCAATCCCTCGAAGAAGAGCGCTTGAATCACTTGAAAACCGTTCTAACATCCTACCTTCACCACAGCGCCGAACTTGGACCTAGACTAATCGAAGTAGGTTGAATTTTTGTAATTTCAGTGGTAAAAAACGCGATTTTCAGGCATCTGAAAGACTCAAAGCCCCGGTCACGCAGGCTGAATCGGGTAAAGATTTGAGCACTTTCATTAATCTAAGACAGTCCTCTCAACAAGTGTCAGAACAGCTTTTACCGGACTTTTATTGCGAACACATTACACTGGCTATGAATCGGGAACGGCGGAAGCAGGTATTATTTTTTTCATTTATTAATTTTTTAAATTTCGCTGAATTTGTTTAAGGCTTTGGTGAAATTGCTACATTTAATCCGGCAAGACATCGAAAGGGAAAGGAAGTCGAAAAATGGACTGGAGAATTTGTCAAAGGCGATTAAACAAACGCCGAATTTTGGTGCTGAGGATTCGCAACAAAGTGTCAGCGAAAAATTGTATCATGTATGTTGTTAAATGATAAAAAAATTGATAAGAATTTGATTTTTTGCAGATGAAATCGATGTTAACGTATTTGGAAGGTGCGAGATATAAACTACACAATGCTTTAGCGGAACTTGATAGTAAACCTAGGTCGGGGCATCCCCTGGCGGCACATATTACCATAACGAGGGATAAATCGGGATTACAACAGAGCATACTTAAGGTGAGATGAACAAAAAAGAATTATAAATACAAAAAAAAACATTTATTTTAAACTAAAATATTTCGGCAATGCAAAATAAATTTTCAAATGTAATATTAACATTTACATATTATTATATATATATATACATTTACATATTATTATATGTAATATTAATTATTATTAATATTTCTAAAAAAATAGAAAACACAAAATAGAAAATCGTGGAATTCACT